TATGCTGCTCTTGCTTTACAAAGGGTCCTCTTATACAGCAGTAAACCATTTTTCCAGACTAGGAAGGACTCTCGCAGGCCTGTGGAGCGATATTTTCTCTCCAGTTTCCTAGCATTTTGCTTCAAAGTACGCAGCTCTGCATTAAACCAAGGAGCAAGCTTTCTATTTTTAACGGTTTTCATTTTCAAAGGAGCTGCGTTGTCTAAGGCAATACGCAGAGAACTAGCAACCCCATCAACAAAATCTCAAACCTGTGAAGGGGAATAAGCTAAACTTTTGCACTCTCACTGCTCAGTGACACAGAGGAGAGAGAAAGTGAAGCAGATTCTTTAAAATTTATAACTGCACTATCTGATAAAGATCTACTAAAATTGAACCTTCTTTTGGGGGAGGAGAACTCTGTTAAAGTAATCCTGAAGGTTATTAGAAAGTGGTCAGAGAGGACAGGGTTGTGAGGAAATACTGTTATTTCTTCACATTCTATGCCGTATGTCAGCACAAGATCCAAAGTATGAAGATGAGAATGCGTGGGACTATTCACATTTTGAACAAAGCCAATAGTGTCTAAGATAGCATTAAAGGCTGCTCTTAAGCTATCGCCTTCAATGTCAGCATGGATGTTAAAATCTCCCGCTATGATGACCCTGTCAGTATTTAATACCAAATCAGAAAGGAACTCTGAAAACTCATCTAAAAATTCAGAGTAAGGACCTGGTGGACGATACAAAGTTACAAAAAGAAGAGGTTTTCTTGCCTTGAAATTTGGATCAGGGAAATTAAGGGTTAAATATTCAAAAGAGTTGTAGGTATTAACTGTTTTGGGAGTAATCAGTAAGTCAGACTGGAAGATTGTTGCTACTCCTCCTCCTCGCCCAGAACTTCTGGGGATGTGAAAATTTAAATAGCTTGAAGGAGTTGCCTCATTTATGCTCACATAATCCTCTTGCTGCAGCCAGGTTTCTGTAAGGCAAAACAAGTCAATGTGATTATCACAAATCAAGTCATTAACTAGTAGACTTTTAGAGGAAAGCGATCTTATGTTAAACAGACCGCATTTAATTGTTTTAACTTTTTCCCCAATTTGAGTTATTTTGATTTTAATTAGATTATCATGATTTACTCCTTTGGGAATCTTTGCTAATTTATTAGATTTTGGTCGTGGGCAAGACACTGTCTGGATGGAGTAAAGAGTGGGTAACAGTAGAGAAGCTGCAGAGATGTGTGTTAAACTACAACTCTGCTTCCTGGTCTGCACCCTGGGTGGTCAGGGTTTTGGAGGACTAATAAATGTGGCCAGATTCCTAGAAAGAAGAGCTGCACCATCCAAAGTGGGATGGATGCCGTCTCTCCGAATCAGACCAGGCTTTCCCCAAAAGGATTGCCAATTTTTAATGTAGCCCACGTTGTTTTCAGGGCACCACCTAGACAACCAGCGGTTGAATGACGACATGCGGCTAAACATGTCATCACTGGTCAGATCAGGGAGGGGACCAGAGAAAATTACGGAGTCCGACATTTTTTTGGCAAACTTACACACCGAAGCAACACTTTAATTTTAGTGACCTCCGATCGGCGTAACCGGGTGTCATTACCACCAGCGTGAATAACAATCTTACTGTATTTAACCTTATCCTTAGCCAGTAGTTTCAGGTAGGATTTGATGTCGCCCGTTCTGGCCCCCGGCAAACATTTGACTATGGTCCCTGGTGTCTCTAATGCCACGTTTCTGACTATGGAGCTGCCAATCACCAGAGTGGGCTTCTCAGTGGGTGTGTCACTGAGTGGGGAAAACCGGTTAGAAATGTGAACGGGTTGGTGGTGACCAGTGGGCAGAGATCCACGACTACGCTTTCTGCGTACAGTTACCCAATCGCCTGGCTGCTCAGGCACTTTTGGAGGACAGCTACGTGGGGGGCCTACTTCAACAGCCTGAAGCCTGGATTCTAACTCTGACACCCTCGCCTCCAAAGCTACAAAAATACTACACTTATTACACATCCCATTATCACTAAAGGAGGCAGAGGAATAACTGAACATCTGACACAGAGAGCAGGAGAGAGGAGAGGAAGAAGGAAGAGTTGGAAAAGAGTCAAGGGAGGGAGAGAGAGAAGCCATAGCAATGCTAAGCTAGCGCTAGCCTAGGCTAGCTACTTCTTGCTATCAGAAATAAAACCGTGTGAAACTGACAAGTGCTCAGTAGAAAAGTGCAGCAGAAGGTGCTATGTTTTAAAGTAGTCAGTTAGAGTTACTTAGATACAGAGATATCACAGAGAAAATAACTTAACTTCAGATGGAGATCCTCTGAACAGCTGCACACTCAGTTAATCCAAACAGGAAGTGAACAGGTCCAAACAGGAAGGATGAAAAATATATATATAAAAAAGGAGACAAATCCAGTTTATCGATGGGATTTGCAGTGTAACACAACACACTGTTTTATATGCTGTCTAGGAAGTTGCTTTTTTTAAATTGGGAGCTGATGTAAAGAGATTAACAAATTCATTAGAGGACTCGTCTCAAACTCGTCTCAAACTCTTGCCCTGTGTAGGCTTTTTTGATTTCCAAAAAGGAGAACACTTTGCCCACGGATTCAGACAGGCTTCTGAAAGGTTAAAGGTACACTATGCAACCGGTGTTGATTTTCCAGCGAGGCTCCCCCCAGAGGGCGAAAGTAAAAGTGCACTGTCGTAAATATGCACAGCTGTTCTCCTGGTTTCTCCGTCAAGCCAGGCACGGTTGTTTTGAGCTTAGCAGACAGGCGAACGCAACGAATGACTAATGCTGCGTTCACACCGGACGCAGCTGGCGCGACAGAAGCAGTGAGTTTACATGCAAAGTCAATGGTTGACCCGCGTCAAGGCGCAGCAAAAGGTCCCGCGGCGCGTTTTGAGCAGCAGGCGCAGCGCGTCTGAGCAACTGAAGCAGCGCGTCGGGCGCGTTTAAGCATCTGACGTGCCGCAAACGTGCTGCTGCTCGAGATGGAACAATTTTATTTTTGCTGCTCGAAGCGCCGCGTCAACCAATCAGAGAAGCTGATCTGGGAGCTGGCAGGGAGAGAGACACAGCGCTGATGATCAGAGCGCTATGATCACTCCTCTTAAACAGTTTATTGACGCCTAAATTAACTTAAAATGCAGAAATCTGCCGGCAGAATATGTTCGCTTTTATTATCCTGCTGCCTGCAGTTTGGATTATTTAGATCAAAAACACCTACCAGCTGCCGCAGTGAACCGCGAGGAGGCGACCCGGCCAGAGGCTGCTGATGAAGGGATTCCTACTGTCGGCGCACCGCTGGTATGTGGGGGTCTGAGCGGCTCCGACAGAAAAAATATTGGAAGGCAGGATGATAATCTGAATGAACTGACTGCACTGATTACGTTTTCAGGTGTATTTTCTCACTTAAAAACATATTAAAACTACTTTATTCCCACTGATCACAGCAAATATAGCTGCAAGGCAGAGAAAGGATAGTGAAGCTCCGCCCAACGCGCGTCAGACACACTTTTGCACCGCGCAGCCAGAGCAGCAAAGCTGCTTCAGCCGCGCGTCAGAACTAACTGGTACAAGCAGCAAAAATGAAGCAGCAGACGCGATTTTGCTGCTTTTGCTGCGTCCGATGTGAACGTAGCATAACTGCACAAAGATCGCCACTGTGCTAGCAACGAGCATGCTTTTAACTGGGGGCGTGTAGCAGTTCTCGCCGTAAAGTAAGACCGACTCTCGCGAGACTTCTGAGCCTGTGGGTGCGGGCCGAGGGCTCCTGCAATTGCAAGTGCAGTATTTCCCCCAGAGACCACCACGGCGGCCGATAATACCTTTGTTCAACCTGAAATTACTCATTTAATCATCCAAAACGTTATGGAACACATTAATTAACTGAAAAATGTTGCATAGTGTGCCTTTAATAAACATGCTATGTTATACCTAAATGTTAAATAACTTTTGTAGTAAAACAAAATCTGTAACAACCAGTAACAAATGTATAGGTCTCTTTTAAAATACATAAATAAAATCAAATATAACATCTTCTGTATTAGAAAATACAGTTTCAACAAATTACCTCGTTACAGCGTCCTCTGTTTTCCCAGGTCTTTCAAAGCGCTCAGTCAACTTTGTCGAATAACTCTCCCCTCACACAGCTTTGTTATGTTTTTCAGTGTCCATATGAGCTTTTAGATCTCCAGCATCTTAATTAGACACTGAAATATGTGCCAGCTTTGCACGCTGTGTACTCAGCCTCCCACTTGTCGCAACAAAATACCGTTGTATTCTGTGCAAAGCGGCAGTCGATTTAAGCATGAAGTTATGGTTCCCCCCCCATCCCATGTCCATGCAAACTAGAACGTATGGCACCGTATCTAAAAGTTCCTGTACACCAGCCTCCAAAGATGTAAAGGGATGGCCATCTCAGAACCTCAGCAGATGATCCCAATGTTGGATCAATTGGATTTTTTATTTTTATTTTTTTACATCAGGACATTTTTTTTCCCCCAACAATTTAAATAATCAATGCTAATTGAAAAAACATTTATTTAGAAAACATAAGTTACCCTTTATGTAAGAGTCATGAACGCTTCATCGATCAACTCAAATTTAGCTGAGATGGAGGAGTCTAGTGTTTATATATAAAAAAAATAAAAAAAATAGCAATAATATTCTATAATAAACACAAAAAATACCTGAATTAACAAATACTAAAACTGAATTACTTTAAGACTTTTTTTGTTGTTACAAATTAAAGAAAAACCCCTTAGAGACGTCTTCCCCCTCTTACGGAGATATTTACTGACATCACTACCCACTTGGGTAAATATCACATCTGACTGTTATATAACCCATAAACTTCTTGCTTCGTCTCGGTCGACCTCTGTGAGCAAAAAAAAAAAAGTTAATATTTGGATTTTATCTGTCTTTGATTTTTTTTTTCTTCCACCTGCATCATCCTATTACGGTATGCTTTATTCTATTTTATTCTATTTTCATTTTTTAAATATATTTAGTGGTGTACGAGCATAGATCCCGGTTGGAGAAATCTCTACAGAAGGAGAGGTTAGAGCACAAAAAGGCCAAAGAAGGTAAGAAAAAAAAAAAAAAAAAAGTTCTGATTTTTTTTTTTTTTTTGCAGTAGCTGATATTCACCCTAGTTGTATGGATTTGTTTCCATAGATTACCTTGTTTATAAACTTGAAGCAGAGAAATCTTTGAACAAGGAGAAGGTGAGTTACTTCATCTTCTTTCTTCATGCTGGCTTCTTCCTTCTGTATTTTTATGGGTTTTTTTTTAACTTTAATTCTTATGTGTTTAAACAGCAAGATGCCAACAGCAAACTCAACTCTTTACAGGTGCAACATCAGATGCTGAAGGTAAGGATTGTTAAAATCTCAGCGCACCAATTGTTTCACCTGGATTCACCATTCTGGTTGCTTTCCTCCTTTTCGTTTTTCTACCTCGACATTTGCATACATTATTCAGGTCTCTTCCTGTTGTACTAGTATGCAAATAATCCCACATTTTTATCACGTATCCTGTCTATAATGGTTTTAATGTACAGTTAGTGTCTGTGTAGTATAGAAAAGCCACACAATGATATCAATCTTTTATTCCTGTAAGAACCAGCATAGTGAACTGAAGAGGCAGTACTACGAGCTAAACGAGCAGCATCAAGCGCAAGGAGAGGACCACAGCCGGCTGCTGGGCGAACACAGAGATCGCTACGATAAACTGCAGAAAGCCAAAGAAGTGGAGATCTCACAGCTTAAAGGTATTAATGGGGTTGGAAAAAGTTAAGTAGAAATACTATTTTCTAGTTTAACACAAAAGAATAAAATAAAAGGAGATACAGGGCGTGGCAGAGACTTATGGCATTAAGGCCTCTTTCCTTGATCCTTCTGTCCTGGGTTTGGGTCTCAACTCTTGGTGACATATGCGCCTCTTCAGACCTTAGTATAAATACACACCAAATGTAATAGCTCTCAAGTTGTTACGTAGAATATTATACCTCCTTGGTTTCTCACTCTTTGTAGAGCCACACAATTGTGACTCTACAATTTTCTGTGTTTGTCATAGCCTGAAACATTTCCAACAGCTTGATTTATCTGTCTTGAAAGCAAATAAATCTGATGCCAGTGACTGCTGGTGCTCAGCAACAGGTGGTGGAAGTAAAGCTTGTTACTCTACGTTCGAGTAAATGCTTAATAGTTCAGAAATTTCTTTGGGATCTCATTAAAAATACCTGGAAACCATTTTTTAGGTTTTGAAATGGAAACCTTTTAAACCAGCCAAACCACAGCCTTTCACTCTTCAGACATGGAAAAGCCCTTTTATATAAGGTCTTTGGGTCTGTGTAGAACACATGACTGAATGTTACTGGGCAATCTTCAAGCCCTGCTTTTCTTTTTTTTATTCTATGCAAAAAGTTTCAGAGATTTTGATCTCCTCTTACGCTTGTGCATAGATTCGCCTGGAATGTTTGAGAACACTGGGCCTCATGCAAAAACATTTTCGTATTATTGCCAATAAATATTTTTTCATTTTTTTTCTGTCCTGGGCTTTTACGAATGCGCCACATCAGATTCAAGAAACGTTCTTAACTTCAGTTAATAATCCCTGTAAATGTGATGCAGTCCACCTGTGCATAAATGAGTTTGCTTTCTGACAAATGTAAATCTGCATAATTACCGCTCCAATAATCCCATATAAGGCTATGACTTCCACGCTTGTTCATTCAGAGAAATTACTCAGAGAAAAAAAAGACTACATGAACATTAATAACCTGAAACAAGAAACAACATTGAAATGGATTTTAAACTATGATGTGCTTTCTTACAAATCTGAGCAAATTTTTTCAATTTTTAATAATACAGTAAAGTAAAAGAACTATATTTAAGAGACCGGTTTGGAGGGCGCGGCCCTGCTGACCAAGACCTGAGCAGCAGAATTAATGGACAAGAATAAAATCCAAGCAGCAGAGAATAAATTAAAAAGCTGCAAATTCTGCTGTTGCACTGTTATGCTACGTTCACACCGGACGCAGCAGGAGCAGGAAAATCGCCGCTGCTGCTTCCTTTTTGCTGCTTGTACCAGTTTAGTTCTGACGCGCGGCTGAAGCAGCTTTGCTGCTCTGGCTGCGTGGTGCAAAAGTGGGTCTTGCGCATGTTGGGCGAAGCTACTCTATCCTTTATTTGCCTGGCAGCTATATTTGCTGTGATCAGTGGGAATAAAGTAGTTTTAATATGTTTTTAAGTGGGAAAACTTAATCAGTGCAGTCAGTTCATCCAGATTACAAACCTGCCTTCCAATATTATTTCTGTCTGAGCCGCTCAGACCCCCACATACCGGCTGTGCACTGTCAGTAATCCCATTCAACAGCAGCCTGTGGACCGGTCACCTCCTCTCGGTTTGCGCAGCGGCTGGAAAGCACTTTTCATGTACATAATCCAAACTGCAGGCACCAGGATAATAAAGGCAAACATGTTTTGCCGGCAGATTTCTACACTTTAAGCCAATTTAGGCACTAATAAACTGTTTCAGAGGATAGCGTCCTGCATCAACAGCAATGTGTCTGTCTCCCTGCCAGCTCCAGATCAGCGTGTCTGATTGGGTGATGTGGAGCGTTGAGCAGCAAAAGTTCAATTTTTGCTCTCGCCGCTTCAGATGCTCAGACGCGCGGCGGGATCTTTTGCTGCGCCTTGACGCGTGTCAACTATTGACTTTGCATCTAAACTCGCTGCTTCTGCGGCTCCTGCTGCATTCGGTGTGAAAGCAGCATTACAGAAGTAAAAGTAAAATAAGAAATAAAAATAATTTGATATAAAAACAGCCAATGAAAACTACTGGTAGAGGCAAGACATGCAAAATATGGTGTAAATGATTAATATGAACTGCCATCAACAAACGCAACGTTTTGCAAAATCTTCTTTTAATATACAAACACAAGCATGTAATAAAAGATCATGTCTGTCAGCCCTTGGTTGTTCTCTCCATCTCTTGTACAATAAACATTAAGGCGTTAATGGTGAAACCCTGATTTGACCCAAACGCAAATATTTTACATGTGTGTAATACAAAAACCAAGGAGCTGCCATATAGTGAGATGAATGGATGTTTTACCATTAGATGAATTTTATGCAGCAAGTTTCTAAACTTTATATCCATTTTCTGTCTCAATTGTTATTTCAATAGTAGCTCGATCTCACATAGATCTCACTGACATTCAACCAGTGTTACCTGGATACCGACATGCCAGCTGCAAGTGCTGTGACTGATGGTTCTGTCATCATTGAATTAATATGTAGTTTATGATTGCAGAGTTGCATAATGTATAATGATGTAGCCTAATAAAATGTACAATTGCTTCTCAGTTAAACAAAGGCAGTAATTTATTGAAAAACTAGGTTTGGAAAACAGCTGGCTCATTGTGCAAGACTCCTACGTCAGGTCTGGAGGACTCGTAAAATGTGTTCGTACCTGATAGATTAGAAATAGATGATAAATGGTGAATGTGACATTTCCTCACAAAACCAATAAAGAAGAAATTTGTTCCTAAGAAAACTGCTTTGATGAGGCCTATTGTCTGTTTTTAACACATTTTTTTAAAAGTGTCTTTTTACTTTTTTTTTTTTTTAATACCAGAACATGTTTATAACCTAAGAGAAGAAAACACACAGTTGAGGAAAGCCCACCACGAGATTCATACCCAGCTGCAGGATGCACACGTGAGGAGGACACAACAGTTTGTCTTTAATAATTAATATGACTAAAATCCAACTCTTTCTGCATGTATTGAATTCTGTTATACAAAAAAAATGCTGACTTATCTGCAGAGTCTATTTAGCTGTAAGTGGTTCTGTTCTGTGCTCAGCTCAAGCATCAGGACCTAAAGGCAGCCCACGACCAGCTTGCACTGAACCTGGAGGACCACAAGAGTGCGCTAGCTGCAGCTCAGGTGAGAAAGCAGTGATGGGGGCTTACTGTTACTGCAGTCCTCTAACACCCAGGCAGATTAATACTGACAATGTGTGCCTCTGCTCATGTGAGTCCCGCAGAGGAGAAAGGTTCTCATAATGACTTATTCAATTCAATCCTTCCTTAAACATAAAGGCTAAATTACTCTGTATTGTGTCTTTATGATGGATAGTAAATCACCTTTTTTCCCCTCGATCTGTTTTTGTCCATTTCCGTTATCTAATCGGTTTTATGGTTTTCCATTAGTGCCTCTAGTTGGGGGTTTGGGTAAAAGTAGTCCATCTCCAACGCAGCAAAGCTAATGGGATGGCAATCTGTAATAAAGACATGAAACAATGGAGCAGAAACTAAGGCCGCCTTTTTGGATTTAATCACCCCGGCATGTCTGTGTGACTCTTTTCAGAAAAAAGAAAGCCAATTTATTTAATCTTTGAAGGGCTGGTGTTACATTAGCAAAACAGAAAGTGGTTAAAAGAAAATATTTAAAGTTTTGTTTGTAATGTGCAAAGAAGTTACTATGGAGGATTGGCACGATGCTCTTCCATGGTAAATATTGTTTATGTTAAAAATTTACGAACACAAAGGATTTTGAAGCTAACAGGAATACAGAATTTATAAACGTCAGTTAGAATCAGTTATCTGAAGAAGCTTGTCTTATTACCTCAGCACTGACTGACAGCTGCTGCCTTTATCCAAACATTTCCATTATTTTCTCAGTGTTGGATGGACTTTACTTGCATGGTTTTGCATTAAACAGCGCTTTGTTTATTCTGCAATACTTTAACGGAAACTTTTTTTCAATTAAACAGGAGTAACACTATAGAATTAAATAATTTCTTTTGCAAAGTATATTTTATTTTTCAGCTTTACACATTTTCTTTGAACAAGTTAAAGTTAAAGGCTGTCAAAGAGCAAAATTATAAAGTTCTAAAACATTTATTTAATTACAAACAAATAATAAAGTCTTATCTATATAACTGTATAACAGCTCACTTGTCCCATCACGAACACCAGATGGTGCAGATCAGTATTCAACATTGTCAGTGTGTATTCCTTTTAATTATTTAATTAATTAATTAAATTTTTTTTAGAATTCTTAATTAAACCTCTAGTTCTTCTCATAAAGGGAAACCTCAGTTCTACAACGTTTTAGATAATAAAAAGTAACTGCTTAGTTACTTTGACTGCTAACAAGTTACTTTGATTGTTCAGTAACTAACTCCTCCAGAGTTACTAAGTCTGTTACCTTTTTTCCCGAAAATTAGCCTTTACAACTCAAAATTTTTTTGATGAGCAGACAGACGCCTCAGTATTTCAGCACAGATGTACTTCTGGTCAGACGTTCCCGCTCTGTTTGGTGGATGTGGCCATGTTAAACATGTTCGATCTAGCAAACAATTGAAGCGTTATATTAATGGTGGATTTTGTGGATACTCAGAAGCAATCAGACATTAATGGGAACTCCACTTAAGGAGAGAGTAAAAAAACAAACCCTAGTGAAGTGCAAGCGTTCACTAAAAGAATGTGAATGTGCAGAAGACGGCTGGAGTTTCATTTTTGACCACAGGTGGCAGTGTCATTCAAAAACTCCATCATGCCTTTTAAACTAGAACTCGCTCCTTTTTAAAGCTCTCTCTGTTCGCTTAGCTCGTATGGCACATTTTAAGTAACGATCCCGACACTGAATGTAACAAGTGCTTCCTGTTCAAATTAATATCTATTACGTCACAAAAGCCTCTAAATGAACTGACATCAAACCAGCCTATTTTAAAAGAACTATATGTCCATGGTGTTGCACCTGTTCTTTCTGCAGGAACACATTAGGTCAAATTAGTCCCTTCTGCAGGAAGTCAATATCATGGTGTCACACCAGTCTCTCCTGTAGCTAAATATCTATGCTTTGTGATTTTCTCTGCTGCATGAATAAATGACAGAGAGTCTAAATGTTTTATAGACAAAAAGATAAAATTCTGATAAAGTTGGTGGCCTCAATTATTTTTCCAAAGGAACACATTTCAGATGGAAGCTCATCTCTGTAAGTTGGAGCGGTCATGGTTGTACTAAACCATTATGTACAAGTGTCTGATTGGATTAAGCCAAAAATTAAAGGATTGTCACTTTTGACCCCCCCCCTAAATAATTTATTTTTTAGCTTCCTGTAGACTAATGTTTCTCTCTATAAATAAACTGATAATAGAATGAATCTGTTACCTATTGCCTATTGCTATTATTGGCTGTTGTCCACTGAATGCTGACCCACTTCTGGATTAGCTTCTTGCTATTTGCACCATTTCCCTATGGCTTAGCCTTTCTTTCGTGTATGCTGTTCTCCCTAGGCCCAGGTGGATGAATACAAGCAGCTCAAAGACACTCAAAACAGGAACCCAAACCAGGTAGAGCCTGATCCAAACCATGTTTCTCAGCAGCTGCCAGCAGCAGCTGTAACAGCTGGATCACATGCTCATGAATCCCAGCTGACTGGAAAAGAGATGCATGTTCAAGATGACCGTCATCCGCACTGGGACACAGAATCAAGGGTAATGAGAGGGAAAAAAAAACAACAAAACAAAAAATACTGTAAATATCCAACTATGAGGACTCTGTTATTTTCTTGTTAAGTTGGATCATCAGGAGGTGAACGATGTCCACGCCCAGTCTGAAATAATTTCCCAGCTCGGCCCATCTGAGAGAGATGAGGATAGAGAGGGGGAGGCGGAGAGGAAGAGGGAGTTGGCAGAGGAGGAGATGGCTCAAGCCGGACAGCCTCAAAAGCTGGAGGAGGATCTGGACCAGACACATGATGGGCAGATGGAGGAGGAGGGGGAGGAAGAGAGGGAGAAAGAGCAGCCTGATGAGAACGCCTTGGACCGACAGAAACGACAGCCGCAGCTGGTAAGACCTAGTTTACACAAACAGATTTGGACTTTCAAAGGGTCGGTCACTTTTTCACTTTTCTAGTGTAGCAAAGGTTCACCTCCAACAGTAAGATGACCCTATTTAACAAACCCTTATCACATTGTTGGAGCCTATTTAGATTAAATTATTTTTTGCTAAATTATTCATGTTAAATCTAAGGTTGTGTGAATGGTAGAGCTATTGTTTATTTGTTTATGTATTGGTTTTGCTTTGACCCTCCTCCTTGTCAGTCTAGATTAACAAGTAGAAGCAGCTGATGAGGTGGATCTGATTGTTTGAAGGAGTGAGGAGTGCAACAGTTTTTTCACACACATCACTTAATGTTTATACTTGAATTTTTTGTAAGTCAACTCTGAGAATATTATTGTTATTTTTTTTGAGACAAGAAAATTATCCACGAGTGCTTTTTGTTTTGTGAGTCGAAAAACCTCCTCCTAAGACTACTCTGGCAATTTTTTTTATTTTTTTTGGGAAACCAATAAACCAATAAAATACATTAAAGTCGTAGGAAAGTCAGATTAAAATTTCAAAACATTCTGGCTTATATAAATGTACTCTTTATCAGATGATATTGTCCCAAAAGTTATTTTATGCAGGCCAGTTAGGCTACGTTCACACTGCAGCCTGAAGTGACCCAATTCCGATTTTTTTGCCCATATGTGACCTGTATCAGATCTTTTTATGACAGTCTGAACGACACAGATCGGATTTTTTCAAATGCGACCCAGGCCACTTGAATATGTGGTCCTGAATCCGATACGTATCTGATCTTTTCAAATGTGACCTGTGTCTGTACGGCCAGGTCGCATTCATCCGACCTACACGTCATTGATACTTGACAAATGTTACTAAACGTTACTAATCTGCGTCCTACTAAGCGGAGGTGGGAAAAACTAACAACCATGGCGGAAGATAACACAGAGAGCAGTCAATGGAGAGAAAGTGAGGTTGCTGACTTAATTCATATTTGGAAAGATAGCTCGATTCAGATCAAACTCGAAGGGTCTTACCGGAACCTGGCTCTCTTTCTTTTTGATCTTCTTAAAAAGATTTTGTTCGTAATGTGCCTGCTCCTGTTGGAGAAGAACTTAAAGAACGCAATATACGCTGCGGTATTACGAGTCATGTTTACTTCCGCAAACACTGAGGACGCTTGCTACATGTGACGTCATCGCGTCCTCGAGTGCGCATGCGGGACACTTCGGTTGAACGCTTTCATTTCACACAGTAGATCACATACAAGTCGCATATACTTGGAAGTGTGAACAAAAAAATCGGAATTGAGCATTAAGGCCTGCAGTGTGAACGTAGCCTAAGTTATACGTCAGCTTGGACACCTAAATTCAGCCAATCATATATCAACAGTCATCTGTCAATCTAATTTTTTTGGTCATAGCATCTTGATTCATATTTCGCAGCTAATATACGCCACGGTTGAAATAACAGCCATTATTTACTTAACCATTGAGTTCCGTCCCAGTGTTCACTGGGATGGACGTCTGTGTCTTCAGGAGGAGTAGTGCTAACAGAACTGGCAGCGTTGCGAGGCAAGGGCTCAAACAAGTACAGCTGTAAGCCTTTTACACCAAACCAAGCTTCTGCCGCCCTGGCGTCCTCTTCCATAACATCTTCGTCCACGCTTTCCTCCTCTAAATAAAAATGTATGACGGAGGAGACTCATCCAGGACCTCCGACGCAAAACTTTCCTCCTCTTGCATGTTTTTGCGTTCATCGAAAGTGTCGTTGCTAAGTGCTACTTGGTCTCAATGTAATTTCCCATTGGGAACCAACTAGCACTAAGTCGCTAACTGGTTAGCAAGATGCTTCCGAGACACCGGCCACAATCACGCTTGCTTGCGAAATTTGCCGCAAAAATCCGCCCCCTTGATAAACGACCAATCACTTTATTCACTCATGTAAAGTCGTGTACCATTCGGGAGAATTCGGAAATGCAGCGGTTGGAACAGCTGCTTCCCTTTGACTTTAGTGTATGTGGATGTAATTTTAAAAAAGGGATTTAATTTTTTATTTTTTGTCAGAGGATGTTTATAGATTGCTTGTTAAATAGTTTTAGAGGAAATTATGTACAAGTTAAGTGTCCTTTTCATATGGACATATCTGCTATTCGCATAGATGAACAAAATGTTTTTTTTTCTCTTATTTTTCTGATTTCTGAGGACAACCATGTGGAGCTCCATCAGGCGACTCAGCTGCAGCACCAGGCACCACCACAGGCGCACAACCTGAAGTCAGCCTATGAGCAGCAGCAAGAGGAGCAGCGCCTGGAGGCCCGGAGGGCCGAAGAGCGTAGGCGAATCCAGATGCAGCAGGAAGCCCTGCAGGCTCAGAGAGAGAAGGTGCTGAAAGAGAGGGAGCAGCGTCTAAAGGAAGAGCAAAACCTGGAGGAGCAGCATCACAGGGAGGCTGACAGAAAGGAGCAGCTGCTGAGAGAGGAGCACCAAAGGTTATATTGAGCCCTGGAGTTGTTAAAATTCTCTAAGAAAAGTTAATCCAGTAAAAACTTGTTCACTGCACAAAATGAACTATGTAGATTTTTCTTTAAAAAAAAGTATTTGCATTTCATTTGAGGAGGTAGAATGATCTGATTAATCGATGAATCGGACAAAAAATATTTTTTATATTAACCTCTTTATTCCAAAATAAACATTTTAGACAGAACAAACAAGCACACAAGTACAGGTTGCTCATTAACTGTACTGGTGCAATATGAAAAATAAATGTTTGTGTTAAAACTACGCAAACTTACATGAGAAATGTAGCTGTACATCCACAAAATATAGGCTACTTTGTTTCATAAAGCGCAAAAAAAGACATTTTTGTTTTTAAAAGCCCCTAAGGGGTTCAAACAATAGGCCCCCCCATTTCAACAAATGAGTTTTTTTAGAGTAGAAGAGTTCTGGCTTTTAAGACAGGAAAGTATAGCAGTTAAAGTTGCTACTTGAGAAAATACTGAACCATAGAGATAAAAATAGCCCTGTGATTCAAATTATAAATTGTATTTGGAATAAAAATGAGAGAACTAGGGGTGCTAAAAAACACATCCTCCAAAGACAGATATTTACATGGGAATGTGGCATATAATTAATTGACATATTACTGATCTTGCTGGATTTTATTCTGCTTTACTTCCATAAATTGCAGGATCTTCTTTACTTTATCTTCGCCAGAAGATTTAAACTTTAAAAGCCTTGCCCTCATAATTTGCAAGTAAATTTATTTATAAAGTAAATGTAAACGCTGCTTAAGCTAATTCAAATTAAATTAAAAGTAAAATAAGTAGCCAACCTTATCACTGTCTGTAACCTACTAACACGGTAAGGAAAGCATCAGATGAGCTACCTGAGAAACTAACGTTACGTTTCCCCACTTTAAAACCAAACAAACATGGTGGTTCCGTGCCATGTTCATTTCTTTTGAAAAAAGTTGCATGTTATCACTTTTTTCGCTTTACAAAGCGCAGGCTATTTTAATTATTGTGATCAATTTGCGCCATCAATCCCGGTGCATGCGCGCTTCATTTGCAGTCTGGACGCTGAGGCTCTGACTGCAGCGCAGAGAGGGACTCCTGCGGGAGCGGGGGGAGGCGCCCCACGGCAGAGTAGGAACGATACATTTTTTCACGTAAGAGTCTCCAAAAGCCGCCAGTGAAACCGAAAAAAGTCGCCAGATTTGTCGTTAGTCGCTTTTTTGAAAAATAGTCGCTGGAGGGGTCTGAAAAGTCGCTGAGTTGGTAACACTGCTCCTGCGGCGCTGACTCGCTCTGCCATATTTTTTTTTCTTCCTCTTTCAGTCAAGAGGCAGTGATGACGGCGCGGCGGATGACGCAATAATCGCGCGACACAACTAATCGATGATGAATTTCGTTGCCAACGCTTTTAAAAGTCGATTTTTATCGATTTTATCGATTCGTTGTTGCAGCCCTAGTGTAGATTATCTCTTATTTTAAGGAACAAGACACTAAGTCCACTTATAGATAATCTCACTAACACCTCAACCAAAGATCAAATACACAAAAATATTTTACCTGCTTTTATACATATTTTATGATCAGAATCAAAGAAATGTCTCTTTTCCAGTACAAAATGCGACAAGGTTAGATATCTTCCAAGAAGCAAGGTTGTTACCTGCTGAAGTATGAAATTTTTTTCAGTATTTTCCAGGTTAGGAAAAGTTTAAAAGAATAAAATAAGGGTTTAAAAAATATTTGTATTTTCTTATTTGCCATCACACTGTAAAGTTGTCTTAAGCTGTCTTTCCTTCTTGTTCTTGTCCTTCCTTCCTTCTGGAAATCCTTTGTTTAAAACTTCCGACTTATTAACTTTTATGTAGTTTCAAGCTTATTGCATACTCTAAATTTTAGACAACATTGCCTATTCCTGTTTTAGACTCTAAAACGGGTTGGCAAAGTTGTTCCTTGAGTGCTATTTACCTGCAACTTTTGCACGCATCCCTGCTTCAACCCACCTGAAACTAAAGGCCAAATTACCTCCTTGGCAAGTCAGTAAGTGTAGCAGAGGTCTGGCCATTAAGCATTCATTTGTTTCAGGTGTGTTGAGGAAGGGATGCATGCAAAAGCTGCAGGATAGTGACATTTAAGGAAGGACTTTATCGAATAAGTCTGATCCAGTGTAACTTTTGTCACACCCACAAAAAAAACACCACAGCAGTACAATGGCAGAGGATGGATTTCTTTTCAGTGCAAAATGCTTTATGCTACTTAAATGAATCATACAAATGATCATATTTTCTTCATATTTTATGTTTCTCACTGCCTTTACCAGACAATACTCAAAGTATCCTTTACATAACAGATCACTGTATGGATTTTCAGAACTGAAATACAATTGGAAATCCAATCTGGAAACAAAAGTGGGAAAACATCCCCACTTTTTCTACTGAACAATGGCCATCCATATTCTAACCAATCACATGGCTGTTTTTAGATGTGCTGCAAGAACAAAGTTCTGCAAAGAAAAAGAAGTGTCAGGAACGCAAGAAAAAAAAAATGCTGTCATTCACTGCAGGAGCAAGAATAAATGTCTCTGTTCTTGTGGAGCATTCAGCTACCTTAACATAAACCTAAAAGACTGAAAAATCCTCCCTGGTCTGGACAGATTAGCGATGCAGTGACTACAGTTGTAACGTAGCGTTAAGTTTCCATGTTCTTTATGTTCAGACATGACTTTTAAATTGGAGGTTTTTCTCCTCTAGCTGCTGATGGGTGTTGTTTTCTTAGGAAAAGGACTGAGTATGAGAACATGGATGAGGATGAGGATGTTCAGAATGAAGAGGACCATCACATCACTAATGAAGATGGTGAGACAAGAAAGATGTTTTTCAATGCATGACTTATGATAAAGCTATTGATATTCATAAATCAAGCGGAACAGTATGATTTGTATCACAGTACAAATCAAGAGCTAAATGATTACTGAAATTATAGGTATTTTTTGATATTGAAAACATGCACAGATTGTTTACATTTTGTTTGTTAGCAGAGAGAGACGTTCACATGTTACCAGAAGAGGAAGAGGAGGAGAAACGCAGAGTTTCCCTGCATCAGGTGATTTTTATCTCCAAACTGTGAAAAAGGACACTCAGCAGTAATGTGGAATGGGTGCTTATGTCGCCTTTCTGTGTCTTTTCTTTTTACACATTATTATCAAAAGGTGGGTTTGAACATGCAGCAATAGTCAGATGTTTTTGTTGTCATCCTTTAATGATGTATACTTCTGGTTCCACTTTGAAGCGTGGCATAAATGGTGAGGTGGATCCTGAAGACGACCCCAATAACCAGGGAGAGGATGAGTTTGAGGAGGCTGGGGATGAGCATCCAGCACATGGGGCTGCCGAGGAGGAAGAAGAGGAAGACGGGTTAGAAGAGGAAGAAGAGCCAGCTGCTCTTGGCCAGCACATAGAGCCTCATCCGGATCCTGGACGACCTGCTGTGGAGGACGAGCTGGTGGTGAGTATGGGCACAGTGAAGATGTCCTCCAGAGGTTACACCGTTTTAAAGTTAGGTGCATTTAAAATGTTGTGTTTAACAGATGGCTGGAAACCCTGATCAGCAGGAGGACAATCTGGATGACCAGTACCAAGAGGAGGACGAGGTAAAAACCAGCAACTCACAGATCAAAACATTAGTCATGGAAAACTTAATGTGATCTTTGTTCCAGAGTGACCCAACTAGCTATTAGATTTATTCAAAGGGATTCTGACTAAACCTTAGATCTACTTTAAGTTTGTTTTTTTAATGGATCGCATATATGGGGTGTCTGTATCTCAAGGCGCAGGAGGATGTAGCTGGTGGAGAGAAAAGAGAGGGAGAAGAGGAGGGGGTGGAAGAGGAAGGAGAAGAGCAGTACAATGAGAACATGGAGCAGGTGAGTTTTGTAGGGAGAGAGTTAGAAACTGAAAAACTAGCAGAGATGGAATAAATTATTGATTAATGGGATATAGTTATACTTTCCTGCACCGGGCTGCGCAGTGGAGAGCACTGCCACCTTGCAGCAAAAAGATCAGGGTTCGAATCCCGCCCTGGCTCTTTCTGCATGGAGTTTGCATGTTCTCCCTGTGCATGTGTGGGTTCTCTCCGGGTACTCCGGCTTCCTCCCACAGTCCAAAAACATGATGTTAGGTTATTTGGTTTCTCTAAATTGTCCTTAGGTGTGAGTGTGTGTGTGTGGTTGTTTGTCTCTGTGTTGCCCTGCACCCCTCACGACCCCGCTTGGAATAAGTGTGACAGATAAAGAATGGATGGGATATATACCTTCTTGCACAAACTGAGTTGCATCATAATGTACAGAATAAAATATAGACTTTAGTAAAATACTGTAGAACAGAGGTCTTCAACAGGGGGTCCGTGACCCCTAGGGGGTCCACGGAGGTACTGCATGGGGGTTGCAAAACTTTTGGTTGACTCATTTTTTTTTTTTTTTTTTATTCCCTGCTGAATTGAAATGTCTTTAAATCCACATCAACATGAATTGAACAGACTGTTGTAAACAGATAAATGGAGGCAGAAGATGCCTTTCAGTCATCAATGCACACATTCAGCGACACACAGGAGCTCTTTCAAGCTGGGCACCGTTTCATTCACAACACCTGTCCCATCAACCAGGAATCCGAATCAGGAATACTTTAATAATCCCAGGGCAAATTACTTTTGTTACATGACTCCATCTAAAATAGAATGACTATAGGACCAGTTTGATATAACACAATTTCATACAATATATATAATTAGGGGGTTCCCGCTCCATCTTGTCATCAGTTTGGGGGTCCTTGGCCTGAAAAACGTTGAAGACCCCTGCTGTAGAATGATGAGTTAGTGCTCATTTAGGCTACGTTCACACCGCAGCCTGAAGTGACCCAATTCCGATTTTTTTGCCCATATGTGACCTGTATCTGATCTTTTTATGACAGTCTGAACGACACAGATCGGATTTTTTCAAATGCGACCCAGGCCACTTGGATATGTGGTCCTGAATCCGATACGTATCTGATCTTTTCAAATGCGACCTGTGTCTGTACGGCCAGGTCGCATTCATCCGACCTACACGTCATTGATACTTGACAAATATTACTAAACGTTACTAATCTGCGTCCTACTAAGCGGAGGCGGGAAAAACTAACAACCATGGCGGAAGATAACACAGAGAGCAGTCAATGGAGAGAAAGTGAGGTTGCTGACTTAATTCATATTTAGAAAGCTCGATTCAGACCAAACTCGAAGGGTCTTACCGGAACCGGGGGAGGGTCTTTCTTTTTGATCTTCTTAAAAAGATTTCGTTCGTAATGTGCCTGCTCCTGTTGGAGAAGAACTTAAAGAACGCAATATACGCTGCGGTATTACGAGTCATGTTTACTTCCGCAAACACTGAGGACGCTCGCTACGTGTGACGTCATCGCGTCCTCGAGTGCGCATGCGGGACACTTCGGTTTGACGCATTCAGTTCACGCAGTAGATCACATACAAGTCGCATATACTTGGAAGTGTGAACGGACACGCAAAAAAATCCGATTTCACAAAAAAATCGGAATTGAGCATTAAGGCCTGCAGTGTGAACGTAGCCTTAGAAACTAACCCCTCTATGTTTACTGAAGGTTATAAAGAAACTTCCTCTTCGTTAAGCTAATACTGCACTAACTGGATGTAATGCTAAAATATCCAGCATTTAAAGTTGTTTGAGTAGCAGTGGGAATAAATATGTCCTGTTAGAAAATAATTTATCTCAACAAAATCAGCTGTGCTGCACCCAGGGAGTGGGCCGTAACACCACGGTTCCACCGACGTCATCTGAATGTTTGCAGGTCCTCTCCGTGTCAGAAGTGCATGGGCTGAACAGCTGTATCCTGTTGTTGTGCTTCATAAACAGTGAAGTGCCCTGCAACATGGTTGTTATTAGAACAATGTTCACTTGGGAAGGGCAGACTTTCTCTCAGTTCTTGGCAAGGCAGAAAGTGCAGGAAAGGTTGCCTCTGACTCACCAATAAGTGCCCCTTGTGGGCGGCCATGCATGGAGCTGAGTAGCTGCTGCAGTGCAGCGCAGCACAGGGAAACCGATTGGAGGATTCTTAGTAAGTTTTGTTCAGTTTCCAAAAATTTTATGATGCCTTGCGTTCTGTAAAGGGACCCTAAGTATTTGGAAGAGAAACGGGTTCACCAGCGTGCTTATTGATGCCCATGAAATGCTTTTCTGCACAATTTTAGCAAAGATGCAGAAAGATTTGCTTAAGTCTCACCTGCTAAAAGCATTCAATTTATAGTCTAATCTAAGTTTAACTAACTAAACACTTTAAGATTTGGTGGTTGGAAAGAAATTGCATATTTTTCTGACATCACTCCATAAGAACTGGTTTCCGTTTAGAATTTTATAGCTGGTTGTTCCATAGACCAGTTTGGCAACAGTCAGCCTTGGAGAGACTTTATGCCCCCTGCTGGGGTACCAACAATCTACTACCTTTGCATTTGCCTCCATGTTTTAAATTACTACTTTTTGTAGTCTGAAAGTTTTTTTGTGAAGGAAATGAATCAATTTTAGTTTTGTATTTTTTTTAAAAATTTCCATCAGGATGCAGATATTTTAGCTGCATTTTCTAAGTAATAGAAGCCTGAGGATGAGCTGGTGCTCGGGTGTGTATGCGTCTCTGTGTTGTGTGAGTGTAAGTTGAACCCAGGCCTGCATTAGTTCAGGAAAACCAGGTCAGAAAGGTGCTGGGTTCATCAGGGTGTCAGATTTTCACCTGGGCTTGGCTCATCACCTGCAAAATAACTAAATGAATGGAGTTCTTCATCCTTTATTTCTCAGAAAGTATCATTACTGTTCATCCAGGACCTTTTAAAGGTAATTTGTAGAAATAAACATATTTTATAACACATTATTAAAGAGTCCCTGTTCTATTTTCTGTGCTTGTTTTTGGGGACCAGGATGATACAAAAAACCAGGAAGGAGAAAGGAAGGAGGGGAATCACCAGAACCGAGCACATGAGGTAGGGAATTACGAGGAAGAAGAAGAGGAAGAGGAGGAAGCAGCCGGAGGAAATAAAAGAACCAATCGACGAGCAGAAATGTAGGAAGAAAAGCTGAGGCTGCTTGGACAACCGAGGAAAAGTTAAAACCTGCCATCCACTCAGTTTCCCTTTGGAAAACCTGGAATCCTGCCAGGAATGTGGGAATCCAAACACTGAACACTGTGGAAAAGGACACAACTTTGAAAAAAATAATAAATTCCATATATGATTATGTATTTTCTACTTGTTACATGTTTTTTTTTTTTTTTTGCTCCTCTGGTTTAGAGAATGTAATTTTTCTTTGTGCCAAGTTTGTGTGTATTTAACAAAAGGAGAGACACAATAATGTAATTCTAATATTGTCCGACCCCCTTTTATTTACGACAATTGTTTTTGCAACAATTTCATGTTCATTTTCTACCGCACATTCCCAGGAATCAGCACGTTTTGTTATTTATTGCCGAGCATAACGACACTGACAATCATGAAATGGTGCAACATTTTAAATATTCATCCTATGCTGCTGGAAGGTTGACATTCAGGCTTAAACCAGCCTCCGGACAGGTGGCTGGATATTTCTGTAAAATGACACTCGTGGGCAATGGTGTGCTGCAATGTGCCTTTCGTCTGTTGTAGCCATTTAACATTTAGGAAATAATTTTGACAGAAAAGATGTGAGTATGGCGTCTGAGCTGAGGTTCATCTCAGGTCAGCTGCTGGTGTGAATGAAATTCACATTGTATAGAAAACATTTTTGTAAATTTGTACACCTGTTATATTTGATACAAAACAAAGGGATTTTTTTTATAGTATTAAAGCCTTGTTTGTCATTTTAATGGTGTTTGGAATAAAGAAGTTTCAAATTTTTAAGTTTTGGGTCCATTTATATATTTGAATTAGACAGAAATGAAGCTTAAAAATATAGTCCTGATCAGATATGTTTAACTTTGGATCTTTCTGGCTGTTTTTTAGCAGAATCTCTAACTTTTGAGAAAGTGATATTCTGTGCTAAGCCTTTAAAGTTGGTTTCGGCTGTGTTTTGTGTGTATTTCTGCTTTGATTTGCATCCAATTGATCACAAGAAAGAAACTCGTCACCAAAAAATGGTTGGTCTATTTGAATTAATATGTAGCATGCTGAGTTTTTCGTTCCTTTCAGAAGATCTCCCCAACAATCCATGTTCAGTAAGACTTTGAACATCATGGTGCAGTCTCTGTTTGAAGAGAGCTTTTTACAATTTTAACTGATGCCAAACATTTTAGAGCAGGAAATTTGAGCAATAGACTTGCATCAGCAAAATGTTCTGCAGAACCAGAAACAAAGCAGATGTTGAACACATTCCTTTGGTCTTCTACTTTTAGATTTGTTGCAGGCAAAGGTTTAGATCATCAGGTTTTCAAATGTTGGTATTCAATAGATAATCTTGTTTTTTACTGTAGATATTTGTTCCAACTTCATTTAAGATGGTGAAGGGATGCATCTAAACATTCAGGAATATAGTATCTCTCCAGAACTGGACTTGGGTATTCCTGATTTAGTTTTCTTGATTCTATAAATCAAGCAGCAATCTGGTCTCTGGGTTCCTTGTGAGATTAAACTTCTCTTTCTAAAGAAAATGGTCATTTTGTTATTCAAGGTTTAAGAATGGGTGTAATTACTTTCACCTACTGGATAGCTTTTTTTTACTTTATCACATCCCACCACTAGTCATTTCCTCTCACTAGCTCAGTACGTTAATTACTGTATGGATTAAAATGGATAGGTAAAGCAGTATTTTTAAAATTTGCATAAAATATATAAAATTATATTCCTACAAGTTTATCCAGCTTTTGTTTTATGAGTTTTATTGGTGTTCAGCTATATAAAAGGATGTGTTATGCAGGGTTAGGTTTATACTAAGGAATATGTGTATGTTGTACTTTTTCCTTTTGTATATATTGTTTAACTGTTGGAGGAGGAAAGTTAACTTACATAAATTCACTCAATCTCAAAGTCTCACAATTATTGTATTTTATATTTATGTATATATAGTAAATTATAATTTATTCAAAAAATTGATATTGAATTTTTGTAAAAAAATAATTATGAAGAAAAAACAGTTTCTTGCTAATAACATTTTTATTTGGGAGCTCCCTCAGGCTTGTTTACTCGTTTTATTTATTGATACATATATACATATGTTTTTTTTTTATAAATTATTAAAAATGTCATGATTAGACTTACACTTTGACAACTTTTATCATCACTTTGTATACACAGAGTGTATAAAGCTTTTTATACAGCTTTCATGATATTTCCATTCCTTAAAGTGCAGCAGTGATCAGATGTAAACAGTGTGGGAGAAAAAAAACATGGTGCAAAAAAAATCGCATTGATATGGAAGTTAAGAGCATTAAATATATATGGTGCAACTATGCTGTGTTTTGGTTTGGTGTTGTCAGTTTCATGAAGAGTCTGTGACATGATGATGATTTTCTTTTCTGTCTTTAATGGAAGGGTATGTAAACTTCAAGCATATATATATATATATATATATATATATATATATATATTTCTTGTTAAAAGGGAGTTTTTCCTTTCTACTGTTGCTGCATGCATGCTCGGGATTGCTGAGCAACAAAATGGCAACTCATCGCTGCAAGATCATCCAGGAGGAGCATGTCTTCTAATTCAATGAGTCAATGCAGTCAACTGGTTTTCCTTGAAAGACACTTTTAACCAATCTGACTGTGTTGAGATTATGTGTGATGTGAATTGGTGCTCTCTAAAAAAAACAGAATTGAAAAACATAAGGAGAAATAGTACTTCACAAACCTGTGTGATGATAATTTGATGATGATAATCGCACAGGTTTTTGACTTGCAAAGGGTTTTTTAGTGGGCTAAAGCGTCATCGTTTCAAATAGCTTTTACATAATGTGATAGTTATCAATCAATGCAATTGGGACCTATCAACTAAATCTGCAACTTGTTAGTGAGCTTAAGATTTCCGGACATTGTAGAGGTTTTTCAAGGACTTCTGACACAACTGATGATAAGCCACATTTTATTCCTGCAGGCTGATCACAAAGCTTTCATATCAGCCTTTAATCTCTTCTTCGTCAAAGTGATTGCATTTCTGCATCCTATTCAAGTGGTTGTTTTCTTTTAGAGGTGAGATGTCATCTGCTGATGAGGGAGATTAACAGATATATCAGGATTTTCATGACGGAGAAATGTTATTATGGTTTTTATAAACAGCATTTATACTTGACAGGCAATCTCAGTTAGATCATCTCTCTTCTCTTCAATCCTGCCTCTTTGCTACTGTCATCATCCCAGTGGATCTCATTTTTCTCCACCCTACTGCTTCTTGTTTTGCTCCTCTCCGTATCCCTCCTGTCACCATTACTCTATACTTGGTAGACAGCAGATTTCCCTTTTCCACCCCAAAGGGACAGAGGGATGCAGAAGGAGTGCACCACTAACAAGTGTCTCATTACTGTGCTAATAGTAGGCCACAGGGAGATGTACACACATTTTTATTTTTTTTATGTTAACGAAAGGTGGCTCCTCTGCTGTTCTCCGCATTCCTTCTTGTCTATCAGTTATTTTATGGATGAATTACCAGGAGTGAATAAATTGAACTTGCTGATAGCCTGGAGCCAAAGTCTATGAAACCCCACATGATTCCCACTGGTTATCGGAGGTAATCAAGCAATAAGTTCTACTGTTAGCTGAAACTTTTTGTCCTGGATTGCAGTGATGATGAAAACAGCAGAGTTCCTTTTTACAAAGATAAGCTGTGCTTGACCTGGATTGTTTGCGGTATAAATATCCAATTAGCTCATTATCCCATCCATCTGCAGCCTCCCTCACTCTTCAGCTGGAGACTTGGCTAGTTCAACCAAACTCATGACTGCACAAACAATATTTTGCAGTTAAGCAAGTCCTGATGAGGCATGTAACTGCATTATATGTAGGGCCGTACGCCCTTGTTAGAGCGCCAATGTTGCTTACGTTGTAGTGTAGTTTATTCTTCTGAATTACAGAGTGCTGAGCTGTTTCTGCCTTTGTCAGTGTGCTCATTGTTATTATTTATGGGCCGCTGCCTTGGTTGCATGTGTGGCAGCTATTCATATTTATATAGACTGCAATATCAGATGGCTTAGTGTGCTTATGTGAGAGGCGAACGCTGAAACTGAAACTATTGTTAAACAGAGCGGAATGCTCCATTGTATTAATAAGTCAATAGGAGGTGGGAAAGCTCCACAGTCCCTTTATATTTGAAACCAAACACTTTTAAAAGAAACATATAATCTTTTTTTGACATCAGACCTTTTTGTTTTTGGTAAGAACAACCAAATACTGCTTTTTGAGAAATGTCAGAATAATGAGCAGGAAATCTATTTGGCTTTCTTCAATTTTTATTTTGATATATTTCTAAACATTTGTTAAAGTTAGCTGCCTTCTAAACCATTTAGGTCAAAAGTATTGGTTTTCCATCCACAGACTTCCTATAATAGTTTGATTGAACTTTGGCAAATTCCTCCTGACAGAACTGGTGGAAGTGTGTCAGGTTTTGTAGGCAACCTTGTCTGTACACAGCTATGGCTACAACGTTCACAAAACAACTGAGGCAACGCTGAAACTTTATTATATTAAATAAACTACTCACTACTTATCTTAGGCAGAGAGTCCAATATGAAAATCAGTTTGTGGTCAAGTTAATGTTCTTTCTGTTGTTTTGCTGTAAAACATCCACAGGATGCCGGCAGCCCTGTAGTTCAAAGCTGGGGTGCTATCGTATAAGTCTCATTAGCTCGCCCAAAAATGTAACAATTAACATTATGGTTAAAGAATTTGTAACATTTGTTTCATGAAAACACATGACATTTCTGAGAAAATCTGTGTCTATGATTGCATTTTCAAAGTAAAATTTTTATTTCTTGCTTTTGCCGTTATTGCTTCCTCTTCTCAGAGCTTTTCAGTCCATGTTGGTCCATGATTCATTTTACTGTGGTGCTTTTACATTCTCTTACTAGCTTTATCTTCACAAGGTCTTTATTTCTGGAATACAGAACCCATCTTTTTCCAGATTGGTATGATGGCTGGTTCTAATTCTAATTCTATTTGTACCAGCATGTAAATGAAGCTTAAGCTTCACCTAAACCAATCATCTTTCCAGATCCCCTTCACTTCAATGCAATTCAGTTTATTTGTGTAGCTCCAATTCACAACAAATGTCATCTCAAAGCACTTTACAGTTAACCAAATCATACAGTGTAATTGATTCAAAGTTTTCTATCTGAGGAAAAGCTCCTGGTCCACCCTCTCTTTCCCATATGCAAGCAAACTTTCACCCACCTCCATCCCATTTCCCCATTCCTCATTCTCAGTCTCACTCACCCTCTGGCTTATTCCACCATCACTGTCCGGGCCCCAGGATTCAAGTTTGTCGGGGCCCGGTGGCCAAATAACATATTTGGTTTATGTCTTCATCTGCTTCTGCCTCCTTGAACCCCAGTCGGCCTCAGCAGATGGCCGCTCACACTGAGCCTGGTTCTGCTGGATGTTTCTACCTGTTTAAATTGAGTTTTTCTCTCCACTGTCGCTACAAGCATGCTTGGAGTGAGGGATTGCAGATAGTCAATGAGTCCTTGCAATCAGCTGGTTTTTCTTAGATAAAAATATTTTGAAGAATATGATTATGTTACCTGCATAAATAAATTAAGTATTTTCTAATTCTAGCTTTTCTCTGTGTGAGTCTTTCAGGTTGAATTATATGATCAGATTAACATGGAAACCTCGGCTGTCTGGGAAAAGTACACAAATATAGAGTCAGATCTGTGGAGACCCACAACTTCACATAACATCATACAATAATGCTTT